TTATTTTTATTAAATATCTTATTAATTGATCAATTAATGAAAAACCATAAAAATATTTGAATTGATAAATAAATAATTAGATACAAATACAGACAACATTCTTTTAATATTTATATTTCAAGTTTATTTAAGTTTATTCATATTTAAAGTAAAAATTAATATAATAAATTAATGTAAAAAATTAATAATAATATAATTAATATAATAATAAAAAAATGTAAATGTATAATGTAAATAATTTTACTTTACAAAGTTTGATTTATCTCTGTAAAAAATATTTTTCATATATAATATTTAATATTACACAATCTATTGTATTATACAATCTAATATATAAATAATTAATATAATTATATATTGTATAAATAATTTTAACAATTAAAAATTATTAAAAATATATTTCAAAAATTATATTTTTTAATATTGTAATTTATTATCATAAAAGTATTTTACTAATTATTTATAATACTTTACTAAATATTTATAACATTAGTTATAACTATTTTTAAAAATAAAATTATGATTAAATAAAAATTATAATAATATTTTTCAAAGATTCCACAATATTTTAGTTAAAAATTAAAAATTTTATTTTTCGAAAATATATTATTATCATAACTTCCTGTTCAATCAATTATTATTATTATTTATATTATTATTATTTATGAATTAATCATTATTTTCGCTTTTTTCAGATGGCTTGCACTGGATTAGTGGATCCTGGTCCTGTGGCGTCCGCAATGACGAATCCAACTCACCAGCATCCCCTTCAGGATTATTCGTATGCTTACTTCGAACCTGGTCCGAGTCGGCTGCACAGCACATATCCGGCGGAAGTGAGCCTGAATCGTGTACAGCAGCAGCAACAACAACAAGTGCGTCCGGATTCATTCAAAAGGCATACGTACATGACACGATACGGCACGGAGGAGAATATTTACGAGGAGATATCGGAAATCAAGTGAGAAATTTATCATAAAAAGATAATTATTCAAAAATAACATCTCTCGAGTTAAAATTTAATATACCATAATTATGAAACTAAGATATTAAATATTAACTTAATAATATTTCAAAAAATCAAACTCATGAAAATCGAACATACAACAAATTCACGGAATTCAATGAATTTATCTCAAATTTATCAGATTTCTATTTCCTTTCGTGAAAATCTATCCTTGAGTATTATTATTTCATGCCAGGAAAATGGTGTTTGCTTTCAAAGGAAGACTAAAGGCTTCTTACGGTCGATAGGAACGCTCGTTGTTGATTGGCGCGGTAGAATTATGTTTCATTCAATCTAAATGGTTGATGAATACGCACGTTCATTTGCCTCGATGCGAAGTGAACTTCAAGTCAAACGCATGCGCACAATTCAAGTGGAGTGGACGAATCCCTTCTCCTTTTTGATCACTTGGTACGATTCGGCGTACCATATTCACCGGATGCCATGCGATTTAACGATTAAAGTCGTAAACAATAAAAAAACAAGAAGAGAAGATTGTCACGAACGTGCAATTGCATTCAAGAACATGAGTCACGCATGAGGATAACACGAATACCTATCTATTCAGATTAAATTCGATCTTCGAGTAAATTGCTGGGTGTCTGCAAAAACTCAACGGTTTTGCTGTTTTGAATGGAATGTTTTTGATTGGATATCGCAAATTGGAGGAACATTGACAGGTTTTTGAACAAGTTTCTTCGCTAATAATATAAAAATTGAAATATTCATGTTTATTATAAATATTTTGTTATAATATTATATAGATTAATCATTTAAAAAATGGACGCATTCGTAATTTTGATGATATTTAAATATATTGTAGAAAATAATTTTTTCCTTTTATATAATATGATAATCCATCGATTTAATTTTTTTAGATGTTTATAGTTATAATTAAATTTTGCCTATATATGTGTGCTGATAACAGCATATGATCAAATGCCAAGCTATTTTACAATGATCGAATAAAATATGAATAGAATGAATAGAATCTAATTATTATCTTTTCTTTATAGTTTATATAAACGAAGATTGGATAAATTTTATTCCATACTGCGTTCACAACTGCATATACATCGCTATAAGAATCTAATTGTAACTTCGGTCGATCGTAAATTATCCAAGCTCGTAATACACTACATTAAATAATAATAGTTAGATTGATACTAAAATAAAATTTCTAAAAACATTTTTTATAGCTTTGCATATGAAGTTATGTAATGGAATTTGTATATTTTAAATTCATGAAATGTAATACAGAGATAAAAAATCAAAACTGATAGATGAAAACTGATCATCAGGCAACTGAAATTTCAGTTATGCTTGTATTGTATTACAAATATAGGCAGAATTAAATATAATATAATTGTATATAGTTTTTACCAAATACCTTGAAAACAAAGATTGTATAGATGGTATACATAAAAAAAATTGTTTAGAGTAATATTTTTTACTATATATATTTCAAGATTATTAAAATCGGTGAAAGAGTTAATCGCCAGATTTATTATATCTTTTATTTTATTTGATAAATGTAAAATTTGTTATCAAATTATATTATATTTAATTACAATGAAATTTAGAATATTGATTTATAT